TCGCGCGCGGCGCCGCTCCCCGCGCCCCGCCACGGCGCACGGTCCGTCGGGGCCCAGACAGTCGAGCAGTGGCGGAGCGTCTCGGCTTGCGGCCATAGGCCCGCCAGAGAGAGTTGGGAACCCCCAAACCGGGTGGTGAGATACCGGGTGGCGACCTGGGATCCCCAAAAAGGTCACCGCTGGGTTTGGGGACGCGGGGCCACCGCCGGGTTTTGTGACTCCTGGGCCCACCATCGCTCGGGACATCCTCGGAAAACCGCACGAGTCCCCAAACCGGGTGGTGACACCAAATCGCCCGAGACTCACCGCCAGGTGTTGTCACCACCACGTTTGGGGACTACCAAGAGAGTCTTCGAAGAACCTCTTGTGGTCCGCGCGGAAGGTTCTGAGAAGAGGTCTGGCTGAGAGACCGTTTTGTTTTCACGCATCGGGCCACTGTTCTAAGAGCGATTGTTGTTGTTCGCAGACTGTTGTTACCAGCCTCGAACTTATCCCTGTCCCTAAGGTTGGCACGCCAAAAGGCGATGACAATCTTAGGGATTCGCCCTCAAAAAATAAAGGAATCCCTAAGATTGGCATCGTGATGAGGCGATGCCCAGCATAGGGATAGGGATATGTTCCAGGCTGGTAAGTTGGGGGGGTTCTAAGAGAATTGGGTGGCAGGCCTACAGCGGTGCTCCGAGCCCCGCCGGAGCACGCTCCGTCGGAGCCCAGACCAAGTCGGCCGAGGAATTCTGCACCGGTGCACGCGACATCGGCAGTCGTCAGAAGGGGGAAATACGGGGCGTGAAAACGACCACAGCCACTGTTTTTCTTTTGTTGCCGCCTTCCAGCCCGCAGAAACAAGGCAGTGGTTGTGGTCATGTTCGTTGAGCTTGGCACCAGGGAAATGACCACAACCACTGCTTCTTCTTCGGCCGGCTGGAAGGCGGCGCAAACAAGAAGCAGTGGTGGTGATCATTTCCCCGTCCCGCAGGAAAGGGTACGTCCCCGTCTTGGGCCTCCTGGGAGGCCCTCGTCGCCGCCGCGGGGTTCGCTTTGAAATTCTGGTCCGAGCGCACCCCTGGGGAGGTCCCGGGAGCAGCCGTGTCGGCACCTTTCGGCCTCTCCATGCGATTCGTAGGTCGGACGACGCCTGGACAAGCCGGCCGAGGAAGTTATCCAACAATCGTGGTTTTTTCTGCGTTGTCTTGCGGGCGGAGTCTCCCTCACAGTGAACGCACTGCTGTAAGCCGCCGCACTCAGCATAGGTCCTGAGCCAGACCCCCCCTTCTCCGCCTTCCGCCCAACGTCTCATGGCGCCAACATCGCAGGTCGGATTTCGTTCGGAAAACGATAGGATGGGCCCGGAGAGTCCTGGAGACTTTCGTTCTGGATTTCGAAGTGAACTTCGTGCGGATTTTGGTTGGCTAGGAATGAAGGTGAAAACAAATCCACGTGAAATTCACTTCGTTTGTCGTTCGCCGCTTCGGGCAACAATTATTCACTGCGTGGAGCTCCCCATATGTGCATCTACTCGCATGGACCTGTCCGCCGTGAATGTCTAGGCGCAAGAGCTTTCGAATATTAACGGGCTTCAGTTGTGACGGTCTGGACATCAATCTAACTGCGAATGAACTGGAGTGTGAATGAGCCTCAGTAGTACGAGCGCGTCTCTGTGCATGAGCCTGGGGCCTCCTGGGGCCTCCTGAAACCTACTGGGGCTTCCTGGGGTCTCCAGGAGCCTCTTGGGACCTCCTGGGACCTCCTAGGAAGGTTTCGTGCCCCAGGAGAGGCGCAAACTATAGCAACAGACGTACATAAAACATTGCGGATTAGAGCCACAGGAGAAGGGCAATTTATAGGAACACGCGTAAAACACCAAGGACTCGTGCCCCAGGAGAGGCCCAATCCATAGTAACATGAGTAAAACATTTAGGATTGTGTACACAGGAGAAGGACCATCTATAGAAACATACGTAGAACATCAAAGAATCGTGCTCCAGGTGAGGCCCAATCGATAGGAGCATACGTAAAACACATGGGATTGGAGCCACTCCTGTTGCCTTCTGAGGCCTCCTGCTCCTGGGGCCTCTCGGGGCCTCCTGTTGCCTTCCGAGGCCTCCTGGCGCTTCCTGTTGCCTCCTGGGGCCTCCTGTGGTTTCCTGAGGCCTTCTGGAGCTTCCTGGGGCCTCCTGGAGCCTCTTGGGACATCCTGTGGCATCTTGAGTCTTTCTGTGGCCTCCTGATGCCTCCTGGGACCTCATGTGGTCTCCTGGGGCCTCCTGGAGCCTGTTGGAGCCTCCTGTGGCATCCTGAGAAGAATCTGCGCCCACGAGCCTGGCCACCAAAACAAGCAAACCGATCGAGACATCCTCAAAATCTGGCCCACCTGGGGAGTGAAAATGAGCGCCTCGCTCGAGACATCCTCCAAATCTGCTCCGAAAGCGAAGGATGTTGGGCCCAGAAACAAGCAAACCGCCTGAGACATCCCCACAAAATGGCCGCGAACGAGCCCGTGCAAACACCCCTGGCGGCTCCCCTTAGGGGTGCTGAAATGAGCGCCTCGCTCGAGACATCCTCCAAATCTGCTCCGAAAGCGAAGGATGTTGGGCCCAGAAACAAGCAAACCGCCTGAGACATCCCCACAAAATGGCCGCGAACGAGCCCGTGCAAACACCCCTGGCGGCTCCCCTTAGGGGTGCTGAAATGAGCGCCTCGCTCGAGACATCCTCCAAATCTGCTCCGAAAGCGAAGGATGTTGGGCCCAGAAACAGGCAAACCGCCTGAGACATCCCCACAAAATGGCCGCGAACGAGCCCGTGCAACCACCCCTGGCGGCTCCCCTTAGGGGTGCTGAAATGAGCGCCTCGCTCGAGACATCCTCCAAATCTGCTCCGAAAGCGAAGGATGTTGGGCCCAGAAACAGGCAAACCGCCTGAGACATCCCCACAAAATGGCCGCGAACGAGCCCGTGCAAACACCCCTGGCGGCTCCCCTTAGGGGTGCTGAAATGAGCGCCTCGCTCGAGACATCCTCCAAATCTGTGTATGAGTAGTCTGTGTAAGAGTAAGTCTGTGTATGAGTATGTCTGAGTGTGAGTAAGTCTGAGTATGAGTAGGTCTGAGTATGAGTAAGTCTGAGTATGAGTAAGTCTGTGTATGAGCAAGTCTGAGTATGTCCGACAGGAGGGGAGGAGAAAAGAGGAGGAGGGAGGAGGAGGAGTAGGAGGCGTCCAAGTAATAACAAGAACCCCATCTTAGGATATGGAGAAAAACACGCAGAAATCCTCTGCAGCAAGTCTGCAAGGCCGGTGCATTAAAGTTTCGAAACGCCGAAAAAAACGCTCTTCAGTACCGGTTCACGCGATATTGGCATTCGAGCGTACCAGTGCAAACCACAGTCGGTTTCGTTGATCGGCGTGCGTTTCGCCGTATACGTGCGGCTGGCTTTGGCTATCTAGACCGCTGGCGTGCACTCGGAATGCGGTGTCGCGCGCACGTTTAGTGCCCTGTCAGTTCTCACCACATGGCTTTGTGCTAAATGGGCTCTTTTTTCTGTCCACCTCCCAAAGAGGGGCCTTCATTTGGTGGGCCTCCAGTAGGACGCTCCCGGATTGCAGGTCGGAGGCTTCCGGACCTCCCAGTCGATTCTCGGCGGCGTTCCAGCCTCGGGGTGCCTTCCTCCCAGCGGCGGCGGCCCAGAATCCGCCAGCATGGAACGATCTGGCGATCGAGCAGCCGCCGATGGTTCAAGGTGGAGCGCCCAGCGTTAAAACTGTTCCGGCGTCAGACTTGTTAAAGCTGTTCTTCGCCCAGTCCGGCGCCTCCCTCAGGAAAATCGGTTGTAGTCTCTAGGCTCCGCCACAGACAGCAGAGCAGGGTATCCAAATTTGAATGCCCAGTGGGCCTTGCTCTACTGTGGGAAAAAATTGTTCAAGCAGTTCTTCGCCCAGTCCGGCGTCTCCCTCAGGAAGATCGGTTGTAGTCTCTAGGCTCCGCTACAGACAGCAGATCAGGGTATTCAAATTTGAACACCCAGTGGGCCTTGCTTCGGGGGCGGAAAAGAGGGGGGTGATGACTAGGAGGGGGTGGATATCATAGCGGGGGCAATGATATTTCCCCAGCTCTCATGGCGCCTCTTCTTGTTTCATTACGTCCCTGGCCCCCCCCCGCTGGGCCGCGCACATGCCGCCGGTCATGATTTGCACCCCCCCCTCTTGGACGCCCCCCTCTTGGCCGCCCCCGACAGGGGGCGGGCCGGCAGCTGGGCCTGTCGGCCTCTCGGGCGGCGTTGGCGCGAGGTGCAGTCGCGGGCACTATTTATATCCATGCCCAGCGCGTCTTGGACTCTCTTTTGGAGGGGCGCCGCCAGGCCGAGGCGCACTGGATATGGACAAGCATCGAGCCTTTCGGAGGCAGATGATAGTCCATGTCCAGTTCGGCTTGTGCTTCTTGGGGAGAGGGTCCGAAACTCCGAGACGCACCCTGGATGTGGATATATATATAGACGCTGCCCGCAGCAGTCGGGGCAGGCCCGGCACGAGCCGAGCCCTGGATCGGCGGCGAGCGAGGGGGGGGAAGGGATAATTCAGGAGGGGGAAACACACAGACACAATCAATCGTCGAGCCCCAGGAAAATATGGGAAAATATAGGAATTGAGGGGGGAAACAAAAACCCCGAAAATATAAGAAAATATGGGGGCTCCTGTTATTTGTGTGTATTTATTTGTGTGTCCCAAGGCCCCTTCAATAATGGGAAGGCCTTCGCAGAAGGCGGCGGGACTTCTCGGGAGCCATCGCGCCTCCTGAGGGTGCTTGTCGGCGTCTTTGGGGGAGGCTCAGGAGACCTCCCAGAAGGCCGCGGGACTTCCGAACCTCCTGAGAAGGCATTCTCCTTCTGACGTCCCCCCCCTGGCGTGCCGCCGAGAGGACGCCCGATGTGGTGGACGTGCAATTCGCGATGCCTTGATTTGTTCCACGCGTGGTCCGCAGAAGTTTGAACTCTTTCCCATGGCAGTT